TTTTTTTTTTTTTTTTTTTTTTTTTTTGTCTCTAAAAGGTTTTATATATACACACATAATATGACTTAGCTTTTCTTTTTAGTATTATTACCTTTATTGTTTCAAAATAAAAAGGCTCTTCATGTCATTTTTTTGTAGACCGGTGACCCGACCAAAAAGCTTGTAGCTACAGAAGCAAAAAGTGACGTTCATATTATCGGATTTTAGAAAAAAAACTTATTTTAGGTTAAATAATGATATGAATGACACTAATAAACTCGAACCAATAGAATACAGTTTTAATCAATTTTTGTTGGTATTTTCCCTATTGAAGAACGGTGGCTCGTTAGTTCTACATACAGAAGATCCATTGTTGTTTGTGCGGCAATACGGAAAAAGTCAAGTCAATTTATTGGTAAGATATAGGGAGGAAAAAATTCCAAGATCACAAAAGTGAATTTTGGCCTAACAAATCCTTAATATTTTTTAAAGACAGGATGTTTGTATGTTTCAAGAAAGTGTTATTTTAATGAAGAAAAATTACAGGTAGATAGAATTTCAGTGAAGTTTACACCACATAAGCTTGACTTTGACCGAATATTGCAAAGGGTAAACAAGCAGAAGTAAGTAATCATTATAAATTGGCAAAGGTAGAATACAACTCATCAACACTACCAACTATGCAATGATTGCCCGTGATCATTGGCATCAAACCTAAAAAGGAAGACAGTCAATATGGTTAATGGAATTCCTACTCATTGGCCCTAAACTAAGCCACTATCCACTTAAGAGATGCCTCTCCAATCAATCATCAAGATTTAACTGAAATTCATAATGTTCATAATAATCATTTCATATGAAGAACACGGTTCCCAGTGCAATGAATGGATCCAATAAGAGTCCATAAGAAATTAAGATGAGAATTAGGAACTATTGGTTGATGGGTATATAAAGTGTACCTTTGGTTAAGTGGTCGTCGAGCTTTTTCCACTGACACTTCCAGCTGCTTCTTCGTCTTGGAATGAACCAGAGATGATCATACAGCTGAAAATTGTAGCTAGCATTTTATTGTTCCAAATATAACTCAACATTACATTATAGTGTTCAACATGCAAATTGGCTATCTTTTATAATAATTAAGGAAAGAAATGTTTAGGAACCATGGATCTCCACAATGGTATGATATTATCTACTTTGAGCATAAGCTTTCATGATTTTGCCTTGGACTTCCCTAAAATGCCTTATATCAATGAAGATGTATTTCCTTACTTATAAACCTATGATCATTCCCTAAATTAGCTAGTGTAGGACTCTCTCCCAACCATTAATAGAAACAACTTGGAAGGTGATGAGTGAGAATATTTGTTAAACCATCTCACCTAAATGGTCGTGAAATTCTCTATTTATATTCATAAAATAAATTACAAAAGAAGTAGAAAGAACCGTAAATAGATACAAGATCTTTGTGTATAATAAAAGGTCAAATATAGTACCATACTGAATGTTAAAAATATGCTTAACCACTTAGATTGAGAACTTTAATTCCTTTTACCTCAACTATTAGATTAACCTCACTATGACTTTGAGGTGTGTGAATGTTTTCTGGTGCTTCCCTAGTCGTCTAATGAATGCCACCCGAACCACCAAAGAAATCTTTACAAAAACAAACAGAATGATATAGAACAAGAGTTTAGAATACCTGGAAGTGTACAAATGTAAACATTCGTCATTACTCTAAGGGTAAGAAAAGAAAAGAAAAGAAAATTCTCTAAATTAATAAGAGGAATTTCAGGAGTTACCGTCTTTTTCATTTTATTCCTCCAGCACAAGTCTGTCCTCTGCATTTGCCAAAGAACAAACAGAAAGCATTTCAGTACAATAATTTTTCACCTCTTTGAGCATGCGAATGACATGGGAAGATGCCTCAAGTCGGAGATATCGAACAATTCCATAAACCTCTGGTCTGAAATTCTTGCTTTTGCAGCTGCAAATCTCTGGTACTCATCAAACACAGAAGTGAGGCACCACCTCTGCAATTTTCTCAGGCATCCCACAAGGCAACCTGTACGATGCTGGACAGAGAGAAGGGTTTCTAGGTAAAGAGAGTAGTGAACTTGGATTCATGGGATGTGGAAGCATAGGGGGAAAAACAGTGACTACCTTTCCTCTCTTGCAATGTATGAGGATTGGATGATTTCTATCGTCTGCATTGAGAAAATTTAATTAAGAAACAACAATCTTCACAGACTAATACTCTAGTCAATCACTTTTAAGATGATATTCAGTAGTACCAAGGACAACTTTCAGTGCTTCACGAATCATATCATCTGGGATATTCACAAAAGGCTCCTGAAAACCCAAACAATAATACCAATATAAAAGACAGGAAACTAACTCCAAAAGCTATATTGGTATTTCTGTGCAATCCAGCAGAGTCAGACATATTTCACTCGTATTCTCATTTCAACGGGAACATAATCATATAGCATCACAGTATACCACTTAAAGAAACCAGAAAAGATCACACGCAGGCTGATGCAACATTACCATAAATCAGCCATCCATAACTGAGGCATAAACAATGACAATTTGATCAAGATTGAAGCACTGATGCACTGATGGGAAGGATTAAAATGATGTTGTAACAGCTCAAGCCCATCGCTAGCAGATATTATCCTTTTTGGACTTCCTTTCAAGGTTTTTAAAAACGCGTCTGTTAGGGAGAAACTTCCACACCTCCAACCGATGTGGGATCTTACAATCCACCTCCTCCCCAACCGATGTAGGAACTTACAGATGTTCACTCACAGCATAGTAAGGATGCAATGAAGTAAATGTTCAAATCACAAATAAATGAAAAATGATAACCAAAATCCTCGAATTTCCTAAATTTAGAACACATTACACAGTCAGTCTTTTCCCAAGCTTAAGAGCACATGAAACCGTTAGTAATCAAACCAATCAACATATGCTAGAACTTACGATACAGCTAATAACACTAGTAGATGAAAACGATATCTTCTTATTGCCTGAGAAAATTATTTTGCTGACTCAAATTGATTGCATTCATCATAAAACTTATATCTTCAAAAGGTAACCCATGGCCTTTAAAGCATTCTACATTTTCAAATTCCAAATATCAATCTCTATCAGCTATATAGATGGTCTAGCGTTGATTAGATTTAACGTTTGGCTACAGAAGCAGAGATGAAGAACTAAAACCACGTTCCATCGTTTCAAAATGCCCTTCTCCCGACTGCATCTCAACTTAAAGAGACTGAGGCCAATTAGAAATTTTCCTTGATGAATTTTCACTTCTAATAAGCGACTTCTGATCGTTCTTTTGAATTTTTTTCATCAATCTGATTCTAAATCAATTCTTTGGTAACCAAAATTCCCGCAATTAGAACAGCTTTGCAGTGTGAATATCAAACATAATTATTAGACAAAATTTCACCGATTCGCGACATGACTTAACCTTCGACATATACTTTTCATGACAGCAATCGAGGACTAAAGCTTAATATTAAAATCATGCAGAAGATCGAAACAAATATGAGTTCAAAAAGGCTCCAATGCCCGAGACATCTAGACTTCTGCCCTAATGGAAGCTTATGAACTTATTTGATACTCAACGATGCAAACTCTTAAACTAATCGAACTTCGTAATTGTAAAGGAAAACTGATTTATGCGATAAACAACTCCATACCGAATTGCGCCATGCGTTCCCTGGTGAAATTCCATATAACTTAAACTACGTGCTGTAATGTAAACGCTGTACATCTACAGTTAACACAGTCATTTCCTAATTCAAATATAGCAGTTTTTATCGTTGAGTTGTTAATTGAGATCAGAAATTCTAATAATAAAGTAGACTACAAAATTTAACGGAAACGCACCTTATAGCTCTCGATTCCAAATTGATACAATCTGATTCCGTTAGACTTGAGAAACTCCATGTTGTGTTCCGGATACGGCTCCGGACATAGACATCTACATCGATAAGTCGATGCAAATTCATCAATCCGTTCATCATAAAGATAGAAAATCCAAACATAGAAACTCAATCGTAAACAAGCAGAACAATACATACATAATGGAACGGAGGCCTAGGGTTTGGAGGAAGGAGAAGTTAGCAGAATTAGGGAAGTCGGAGCGGAAAATGCCATTATCAACCATGGAAAAGTTGAGGGGAGGAATATAGAGGCCGTCACCATCCGGTCCATCCCTCTCGCAATCTTCAGAAGCTTCCAATTCGACCAGCGACGATGCAGTGCGATGGTGATCAATTACGTCGACCTCAACAGTCTTGCATATCTGTTCCGACTGTTGCTTCAAGCTCTGCTCTTCAAATTTCATTACAGCTTAAGAAGAAAAGGATGAAGATGAACAGAAAGAAACTGAGAGTGTTCAAACTGCGGCTTTATAGGGAAGAGATGACGCGGGAAGGAAGAAGGCTTTGGGATCAAGACGGATATTCCATTTCTTCTTTTTCTTATTCTTTTTTCTTTTTCTTTTCCTTATTTCTTTCTTGACAGTGAAGCTAAAAAAATATGGCAACGATAACGACGTCGTACATGCCAATGATCACGTGGGGCGTTGTGACCCTCACAAACACTATCATGGGTCCCACTCTTCATCTTCCATTCACTCTCTCTTCCCGCTTTCCACTCTCTCTCCTACTTCGCTCTCCCTCCGGCTGCTCGGTCCTCAAAAAGGTCGATGGGCGAGGGATCAACCGGAGCCTTAGTCCCGGCGGTGAAGTCGGAGCCAGCTGCATCGTCAATTCCCGATTGGCTCTCTCACCGAGGCTCCGACTCAGCTGGATAAGGACTTCCTCTGCCCGATTTGCATTCAGATCATTAGCGATGTGATCCTCACTGCTTGTGGCCATAGCTTCTGCTATATGTGCATCATTTCATCTCCATAACAAGAGCGATTGCCCTTGCTGCTCTCGGCATGTCACCTCCGACCAGCTGTTTCCTAACTTCTCGCTTGATATGGTTTGTTTTCTGTAATTCAATTGTTTTTGGCGTTTTTCTGTACCGTTTGTTACGATCGATGGATTTATACTGTGTTTTGGATTACTTAATTTTCTTACTTTCCGTCTTGAGGAAGAAACTATTCGAAAACTCTGAACAAAGTGTCCTGGCAAGGTCTGAGATAGGAAAATTTTCGATCACTCTACTTATATTGTGCGGTTTCTGTGCCTTGCTTCTGTGTCTGCTTTTACAATTGTGTACTGGACGATGAATAAGAATACTACTCTTTGTCGACCTTTTATCTTTGAATTCTTTTGGTAATTTTTGTTTTACATTTCTTACTATGTATTGTTTTTTTAATGGTTTGTCTAATAGCCTTAGCCTATTTCTTTGTATCTAGAGTAGCCTATTTCTTCACGGTCGTGGTTCTTTGGTAGGAGTTGTATTTAGGTTCATTTACTATGTTCATTTCAAATTAGTCATCATGGAACAATAGTAACCATTATAGGATTCTTATTTTCTTGTTAGGGCTGTGATGTGTCAATTAAGGAGCTGGACTCCCTCTTGGCAATGCTTTCTGAGAAGAAGAGAAAGATGGAACAAGAAGAATCTGAGAGAAATATGAAAATCTTAACTGACTTCTTATATTGCCCAAGGAAGCAAAAAATTAACGAGCTCAATGAGGTACTTTTTTCCACAAGTTCAGTAATGTCTTATGCATTTTGTTAGTACTGAGGATGTTTCTTAAAAATTATTATTGCATTTCACATTATTTAACCTGTTTTCTATATGGCCACTCTTAAACTTCAGTAGGTGTTGGGGTACTTATTATTATTATTCTTTATCTATTGATCAAATATATGTGATTAGGTGTAGTAGTGGTATTATTATAGTAGACCTCCAGTAATCTATACTTGCATGTGAGGTGCTAAAAGGTAACTTTGGGTTAGACTTAGAAGAGACAGAATTTGCTTTTAAAGTGACAAGCAGAAGGGCATGAGGTAAGCAGTCATTTTGAGGTGAGTTTTCGAGAATGGTCGTGGAACCTGTGTACTGATAACATGTACTTGGGAAAAACTTTCTAGTTAATTTGTTTTAGTTTGTTCAGCTCTATATCTATGGAATCATTTATCTGACTATTTTCTCTATTACTATTTTGATAGGTGCAAACTGATCTTCAGTTTGTTAAGGATGGAACTGTATAGTGCAGTGGAGAGACATAGGATGGAACTGTATAGTGCAAGCGACAGGTATTCCATGAAGCTATGGATGGCTGGAGATGATATGAAAGCTATAGAACCTTGGTCATCATTAATGGATAAGAGAAATGATGGGCCTACCTTTACATCTCTGAACACCGGGGGTGTTGTGTCCTCTGGGAATTCTCAAATTAAGAAAGCAGATTCAAGGAGTCAAGTCAGCACTTATGGTAACTGGCCGGAAAGAATCCAAAGGAAGCTCTAAAAGGGAGAGCTGCTCAACTTTCAAAAGGGAAAAACTAACGTTTTCCTATAAGACGTTTTCTCAAGTACACCTGCTCTCTTCATTTCACCCTTTTAGAATAGCCTACGAGATTGAAAAGGTTTCCAGAAATTTCTTTTGGGAAGACAGTATGGAGGTAAAGGAAAACATCTTGTAAATTTGTGAAGCCGTTTCTCCCCTTCCTATTAAATCAGGCCTGGAAGTGGCGGAGGAGTAAGGCTATGGTCTCGTAATGAATGGAGGCTTCTAACGGGAGACTTGTTCACTTTAACACCAGTCAATTAATAGCTAATTGCTAGTGAATGTGGTCCTTCTCCTGGGCGTTGGACAACCATATTCAAGGCCCCAGGCTAAAATGTCCTGGGATTTTTATAAGGAGGAATAGGTTCGTACCTTTAGACGCCATACAAATGGAAAAAACTTTGTTGGTCTGACAGTAAATAGCCAATACATTGCTTGCGGCAGTGAAACAAACGAAGTCTTCGTCTACCACAAGGTTATTTATATTCAAAACCGTGGCTCTCCATTCTTTATCTTAGAACTTAACACAAGTTTTGCTTCTTGTCTCAGGAAATCTCCAGACAGCTGACTTCGCATCAATTTGGTTCACCTGATGCAGGTGATGTGGAGGATGATGCGGGATCTAATTTCATCAGTGCTGTTTGCTGGGAGAGTGATAGTCCTACTATCCTCAGTGCCAACAGCCAGGGAACAATTAAGGTGCTGGTTCTTGCGGTTTAATTAGTAATTTAACCATTTTAGAATAGAAATTATGTAGGGATGCGTCTTTAGCTCAAATATATGTAAGTAATGCTCACGATTGTGCATGTGGTAGGGAAATACAACACAGATGGGTCTTTTTTAGTTAAGGTTACGTGTACCCATCAGGGGGGTATTTTATACCTAGCTCTTGGTGATCATATATGATGAAGATTGTTGGGAGGGAGTCCCACGTTGACTAATTTAGAGGAGGATCATGGGTTTATAAGTAAGGAATACATCCCCATTGGTATGAGGCCTTTTGGAAAAACCAAAAGCAAAGCCACGAGGGCTTATACTCTAAGTGGACAATATCATACCATTGTGAAAATCCGTGATTCCTAACCATCTATTCCTCTATCCACACCCTATTCATTATAGTCATTTATGTCCTTGAACCAATCATTTTCTGGAAGCTTGGATTGTGTTCTTTAAATTGGTTACATTGAACTAGTGAATAGAATGCCTTTGTCTGTCACGAGCCTTGTGATAGCATCTTCACTTGTGTACGAGTCTAACTTTGAAGTGAAAGACAGTGGAGTAAATGGGGTGGTTTCTGAAGAGTGAGCTGTGAGGCAGTAAGAGGAAGGGCTGACTAATGCATCATCCAAGTATTTGATTTCAATCTTGTTAACATAAACTTAACTTTGGACGATACTTCACTCTAAAATGTAGGAAATTCTTGATCCTGTTTCTGTTTAGAATCATCTTGATAGTTACTACAACAAATTAGTCTCCAAAAACTTTGTACATTCGGCTTCTGCAGTTTCATGTTGAAATTCTCATCTCACTGTCAACTTTTCCCTCCCATTTCGCTTGTAGAAAAGAAAAATTAGGTATTCAATATTGGGATTCAGCAGGAGCGCCAACACAGATATGTCTCAGCCTGCTTTTGACTAGAGGCAATAAAGTTTGTTGGATGACCCATCCTAGATCTTTTTGGTTAATTTTGGTCTAAAGTTTTGAGGACAATAAATATCGAATATCCCTATAGTACCAAAGACTGGTTTGAAGGCGACCTTTATTATGATTATTTTTTTTTTTACCTTCATGCTTAGTTGAGTACTGACTTCTGCTGCTTTACTTGACCTATTCATTTCAATTATTGATGCTTGCTTTAACTTCCTTGACCAACTGCCAACTGCCTGCCTTTTTACATAACGATGCTAATCATGCTCTGTCAGCAACTTCTTTCTTTCATGTCATTTCATACCTTAATCCTTTTCAATTTGATCGTCCTCAAAAAATCGCCTCTTGGAGGCGGTTTGCAGCTGAGGAGAACACTTTTTTTATTATGTTCGTAGTATAGAAGAATAGTTCTATACTACTGTTTTCTTTTTTTTTTTTTTTTTTTTTTAACTGTACCATTATTTATTTCACTGTTTTATTCCCTACTCTACCATTCCTGTAGTATTGAAGTTATTTATTTATTCTTATCTTTACTGGCTCGAAGTTTGGATATGAGACTGGCCTAAAGTGTCTCGAATTCGAACCTCTTGGTGAAATGCTTAATATGTTATGTGCTATATGAATGAGATAGAGATTTAGTTCGGATCAGTTTGTGTTTTGTTTTTGAACTTCGTAGTAGTATAATAAGTAAGTTTTTATGAATGTAAGCTTATGCTTTCTATTTCTCAACTTCAGGTTATACAAGCTTAACTTATGAATCGAATATCATTTGTTATCTCGTGAAATCAGCATTGTGGGCTTGGATAACTACATGTGTTCATATTACCTGAACAACTCGGACTATTCAATAACCATTATAAGAGGTACGGATTACATCCCTCTACGATTCATCCCCTCCCTATGCTGCCAAAAAGAAAAGAATATAATAATGAATTAATGAGCAATGGAAAGGAATAGAGGAAGAAAACAGAAAAGCTTTCTTTATTGCCTGTGAAGATTGTCAATAAAAATAAAAAATGGGAATAGGTATATGTACTTGGCACAAGCGTAGGGGACGGGGTGCTTGGTAAAACAAGATTCCCCATAAAGAAATAGAGAAACCGAGAGTTCCTCAAATGGTCAAAATTCAAACCTCTTCCTTCCCTTATTATGAGAGCCCGTAATAAACTTTCAACGACATTCAACCAATATGGAAGCTCATCATATGATTTCGCATCCACGTGTTTGTGTCATCTTTAGTGGCAAACGGTAACTATATTGGGCACAATTTATTTAGTTATTCTTACACATAGTACATGAGTTACATTAATTATGGTATACGGTTACACTATTTTTCTCAATGCTTTTTGACATTACCCTATATTTCTTTTTATTTATTTAAATTATATTATTTTTATATAAAAAAATATATATATGTATATATCCCATCCGAGTTCAGCTGTAAAAATAGCAGAGGATCAATGGTGGCGTTCATCCAAGATTCACGCACATTATGGGCAAAGAGAAGCTCGATTCGCGACACGTGGCAAGAGGCGAATGGCGCGTGGTCAACAGACAAAAAAGTTGACGCGTGAGGGAGACAGGAGGACGAATGAGAGCGTCCACCGATAGTGAGAGAGTGAGAGAAAGTGTGTGAAAACAAAACTAAAAAATAATAATAAATAAAAATTAATTAATTAAAAGCTTTTTTTTTTTTTTTTTTTCATTCTTCTTCCTTTCTCCTATAATTTTGTTGGTGAGTGGGGGAGGCTTAATCTGTCCCTTTCGTGGGCCCCACTCTCGATTTCCCATTGTCTCAGTGTTTTCGTGGGCTCAAATTAATCCCCCTGACCATTTTACCCCTCCTTTAATTATTTTTTCTTTTTACTTTTATAATTAATCAATTCATTATAATCTCCCAGAAATTTCAATTTCTAAACAAAATAAATTGTTTTAATTCCTTAAAAAGTAAATTATTATTTTGATGAATAAAACTTTAAAATATTTAATTCCGTTACGGGTAGTCTTCCACCACCTATATTTAAAAGAATATTTCATAATCTAATCTATGTGCTTTAATAGTTAGATACAAACCTTACCATACTCATATTTAAAATTATATTATATATTTATTAAATAATTAACGGCATCCATGTATATTTTTAATTTAAAATAATTAACTATAAAATAATAGTGAGAACCACATATTATTTTTTTAATTTTAGAAATCAAAATATGGTTCGTCTACCAAGTATATTTGATAAATTTGATTTTTTTTATTCATCTAAAATCAAATTTCAATTTATTTTAACTTTCCTAAAAAATCTATCCTTCTGTAAGAAATGATTTTCTTATAATTTTCTGCTTGCAATTTAAATTATATATATTTTAAAAAAATATGGATATAAAAATAATTAAAATAATATGTCTACTTCATTCCTAATAATCAAGCTATAACAATTGCTTTTGAATTTAGAAAGTAAGTCGTCGTCAATTATTTTAAAAGTTGGCTCGTCGGGATATCGAAAGTGTAGATAATAGTATACACAAAGACGATGGAAGTCTAAGTTAAACGACACTCACATCCGTGGACCATAACGACAGGCATTTTAGGGTTTGGTTTAGCCTCCCATTTTAGTCTGGTTCAACCTGAGGGCAAGCACGTGACATGGCGCCTTGTCTCTGCCAAAATCTAAAAAATTTCTCTGATGCCCCTCTGACGGCGACGATTTTTCACTTTTTTCCAAAAAAAGTTTTAAATAATTCGAAAATGGCACATAGATTTAAGAAATTCCGGTGATCACAGAATGACTCTTCTACCCTTCTAATCCGGAAATAAAGTTATTTTTCTCACGCCATTTCCGTCATTTCACACTTCAATGGTTTTTGGACAGTTTATGTGGGCCCGGCCCTTAAATTCTGGCCCACATTTCTCCACCGCCCCTCCCCGCTTCGCGCCCTTTCACGTCGACAATTTTTCGCCAACTTAAACGGCAAAAGAAATAGTCCGCCAAATTACTAAACTACCCTTCATCTCATCTTATTCATTCTTTGAAATGACGTATTTGCCCTTTCTTATTATTTTAAAAATGCATTTTTCAAGTCAACTATGGTCTATATGGTCTATGGTCTTTGGTCTTCCTTCCTTTTCTAATGGTGGAAGAATTCACCCTTGACTTATGGACTTATGTTAATTCTAATATTATTATATTTAAAGTAATTTTTTTAATAATTATTTTCTCGAACGTGTGCTCACAAGAAGGTTCAATCGTGCTTTTCTGTGTCTACGCTACAAGTCTCAAAGATCGAGTCCGTTAGTGAAATTGCTCGTAGATAATACGTCGTACTTATAGTGCGAGTCTTGAAGACTAAGGAAAGGTCAATCCCGAGAATAAAATTATAAATAGTGTGTAATTTGCATTTCAACATATCCGTGACGATTCTTGGTCTTCATTTCTATTACACGTTTATAAAATCATGCAATTATTAAAGAAAAATAATTGAAAAAAAAAGCAAGAAATTTCAAAATAAATAAAAATAAGAAAGAAAAAAAAGAAGGAATCGTGGATTCTTGAGGCCCACTCTAATTTAAAAAAAAGTGAAAAAAGAGTAAAGACAATAAATAATAATTTCCTTGAAAATAAAAAAAAAATAAAAATAAAGAAAATACATTTTACACTTTATTCCTACCTATTATTATTCTACGATTCATAGTAATTTTCAATATTATAATACATTAATAATTAGACCTAAAATTATAAAGTATTAGACTCGCCTAATTTCCATAAAAAATTAGTTAAATATTTATTTTCGTCAGATTGTACCTTAAAACTCGAATAAATATTACAATTTAGATATTAAATTTTAATTATTATTATTATTTTTTGGGGGTAATTTTGACCTTATAATAGGGTTTAATAAATAAAAATGAGGAAATTATTGAATTTATGGGAATTAGTATGGTTTATTTATTATTATTATTATTATTATTGTGAATGAATTTATTTACATTACAATTAGTCATAATGAGGGGAGCAACCAAAAATATGAAGTAATAATGGTGTATTAAATAATTTGTTAAATATTAAGTTATAAAAAAAATGGGCAAAAATAAAAGATAATAATGGAAGCCAACACGCCCTGGTACTAATGAATTAATTAAGGACGTAATTACACTCTTAATTACGATAATCGGCGAACAATAAAGGGCAAAATGGTCATTTCCACATACTTGCCGTATTTATTATTCGTACACGAGCGTGATGAAACTTGTTTTATCGTTAATTGGGGAGAGAGAGAGAGAGGGAGAGAGAGAGAGAAAAAAAAGTGAAAAAAAAAAAAAAGGAATTTATCGAATTGGAATAATAGTGGATTTTACATTGATTCTTCACAATCTATCCGCGATTCCCTTCTCGCCTTGGTTCCTTATAAGATTTCTAAATTGGTTTCTCTCTTCAATTTCCGACTGGGATCATCTTTTTCATAAGAGGAAGATCACACCATTTATTGAAGTTTTTTATTTGTGAAAGAGAATTTCTGAGCGATTTGGGGGCGTTTTTGTTGTCTGTTATCTGAATTTTCCCGGGAGATTTGAGGAGCTTCTTCAGCTTTGATTGGTTGGATTTGAAAAGCATTTGAAGGGGTTTTCCTTTTTTAAATATCTACGACCGATGCCAGATAATCTGCAAGTTCAGAGGAATGCTGTTCCTAACCAATCCCCTGGTAACACTGAAGCTTCAACGATTTTTTATGCGCTTTTGTGTGATTGTTAGGATCTGATCCTTGTTTTTTTCGTTATAACCATCTAATGACTTTGGCTTTTTTGTGATCGGGTTTTTTTTTTTTTTTCTAGTTTGAGCTGTCTTCCAAGTGTTCGAGTGTGTAAGAAATTTCGTGTGATTAGCGATGTTATTTTTCTCTTCTGTTTATGTTTCTGTCTTCATTGAAGATGATTCTGGTTAAATGTATTCAAGCCTCATCGGTTATCTCGTTTTGAAGAACTTCTATTGTGTTTTGATGCATTTGAGGCGTGGAGAGATTTCCTTTTCTTCGTGTTCGGCGATATCGATTTTGTTGCTTGTAGTTATTTAGCGTTGGAGCATCTTTTGACGGTTTATAAAACGAAGGATGTTAGTTCTCGGTGCTGTGTAGATCATCGTGTTGTTCATCACATTTTGATTTCTTGATTTCTATTTTCCCCTCTTTGAAATCAGATGTCTCGGAGGCGCTCTGGCGGTTGGAAATTAGCGATAATCAAGATGGAGGCGACGCGGCAGAATCAAGCCCTTACCCCGATCGTCCTGGCGAACCTGATTGCTTGTATTATATGAGAACTGGCTCTTGTAGCTATGGAAGTAATTGTCGCTTCAATCATCCTGTCTACGTTGCTCAGGTATAAGTTATTTTGCTTCTGCAAGAACATTGGAATCTCTCGATTGACGCCGATGTCGCACAATCATCTATGATATACATGGTTCCTCATGATCTTCTATCTACTGATGATTGAGTAACGGATTTCTTTCGCTATTTGTTGATCATACAGGGTGCTCTTTATAATGGGGAATTGCCAGAAAGAATTGGGCAACCCGACTGTGAGGTATTATTGTTGGGATTAAGTTTCTTAGATTTCGATGATGTTCGTAATTTAACCTACATGATAATCCTTTTGAAACTCTTTGACAGCCTTGATTTGAAAACCATCTAGAGCTGTGAAAATAGATAGACCCTTTAGGGGAGATTCATCTCAGGGCTATTTGGTGACATTTTTTGCAGTTTCTTATGACTTTTATTACTAACTTTTGAACGTGTTTGCAGTATTTTCTGAAGACAGGGACCTGTAAATATGGAGGATCGTGTAAGTATCATCATCCAAGAGATAGGCGTGGAGCTGGGCCTGTTACATTCAACATTTTAGGTCTTCCCATGCGACAGGTGCGCGGTCTTGGTTTATCAATTTTATGCTACCTGCGTATCGATATCTTAGATAGTTGGAATGATTTTGATGAGCCTAGTGCTTTCTCAGGAAGAAAAGTCGTGTTCTTATTATTTGCGCACGGGATCATGTAAATTTGGAGTTTCATGCAAGTTTAATCATCCCCAGCCAGCACCAGTTGGGAATATGTTACCTCAAGCTAGACCTGGTGCTTTGGGTTCTGCAGGCACTCCATTCATGCCTTCATCTGGTTTACCATATGCTAGTGGAATTCCTGCTTGGTCATTGCCTAGAGTGCAATATATGCCTGGTCCATGTGTACAAGGGCAACAATCTTATGTGCCTGTCCTGGTTTCTCCACCACAGGGTGCCATAGCTGCTCAAGACTGGAACACTTATGTGGTAAGTACCCGTTTGAATGAACAAGGTTTAGCTTAATTCTTAATGTCTTGCATATCTATAAACGATTTGTTGCGTGAAATATGTAAGAACCTTGCGGTTCTGCCTTATCCTGGAGCCATTCAGGACGGCTGCTCAGCGATTATGATGCACATTAGTGATAAAAATTGGGATGTCCAGAATTTTGCAGTAGCTGTTTCAAGATCTTGAGAATATGTGTTGGTTGTTTCAATTTCGTTTGTACATCTGCTTGCTTGTCTTGTACATTAGCATGCTTCTTTCTTGCCTGATAGAAGGTATTGATCTTCCCACTGTTTCTGTTTA